TCAGTCCTACAAAAAGGTGAAGCCAAGAGCAGAATGTAACGCTATAAAACAGTCGATACGTGGTTCAATATTTGGTTTTGTAGCTGAAAATGATTTAGGTCTTGTGAAACACTGTTTTATTGGAAGTACTAGAATGAAAATCTAAGAAGTTCTTTTCAACCTATCATAAGAAGAAAACCCGTTTAGTTTACGGTATGTTCCTTCTTTCTGAGTTTCATAGTAAAGCTTTAAATATTCGTTTAAACAGAATACATCATCCGGTATTTAATCTCAGTTCAGTGAATGACGGTTTCAGTTTCAATCACATCAGGATGATGAATTGGTTGTGAAGCAACACATCAGGTCTGACAGGGTGGCAGGATGTGATGTAACTAAACCTGAAGTCATTTATTGTTTCCTTAAAGCTCTTTCTTCACACTCGACAAATGCAACATAAATGGCTTCATTAAAAGGGACAAAGTTCACTCATGAGTCACGTCTTTGTTATTCTTCCTTCATTCAGCCGTGGCTGAGGTGAAACCAGCAGCACCGTGCACACTGTTTACTTGCACTTCTGTAATAAAGACAACTTGAAATTTATTATGATCTTCACCCGGGGGCTTTCTCTCGACATCCCTGCTGTTTGTCACCGCTCGAAACTCTGCAGGTCCTTCTTGAGTTACCGTTTTCTCATGAAGCGGTTGCTCTGCGAGCCCGAGTGCACTGCGGCGCTGAAAGCTGATCCGTTTGCAGAACTCGGACTAAGTCAGACTGGCATCACAAAATGTTACAGAAAGGCATAAAGGAGTTAACAGAGAGGGGGGTGCTGACTCAGCATGTTTTCTTGCTTATTTTTCTCTGTTTTGTTTTCTACTCCCAATACGTTCTGCACGTATCCGGTCACACAGCAGAATGTTCAGCTCTTTCAGGAGGTGGGAGCTATGACGGATTCGTTTTGTTTACTTTTGTACATGTAAAGAAAAAAATACTTGATTTATAGATAAGTTCCCATTAAAAACACTTGGATGTCTTCAGTTCGTTCAAAAGCTGTTTTAACTTTGGAATCTGTTTCAGCATTTTTGTCTTTAATTTTTTTAGCTCAGTTCTGCTACTAATAGATTTTATTTAGGCCAGTTGAGGCCAATTCAATGACATGTACCTGTTTTTATAGCTAGCTTATTTTATAATTGGGGAAAACCAACGCAGACTTGTTCTTGTTTTTAGTTTTCTTACAACCTAGCCGTTTTTTTTTTGTTACTTTTCCTTTTACATACCATTTGATTTTTACTTGTTAAAAATAATAATAATAATAATCTAAATTTGTATGCATCCTTTATGATTGTCTATTATTGTCTTAGCTGTCTACTATTGTCATCACTCTTGTTAAAATCAGGTCTCTCTTCTAAATGAGTCCCTGCGGCTCAATGGGATTAACCTGTATAAATAAAGGTTGAATGAAAAACAAATACCTGTTTTTTTTAATAGCTTGACATTTTCTTTTAACTGTGTAATTTTTTTGTGTTGTATTTGTTGCTGCCTCTTGGCCAGGTCTTTCTTGAAAATGAGATTTTCAATCTCAGCTGGGTTTTTATCCTGGTAAAATAAAGGTTAAATCTAAATGTTTGGCCATTTTTAGCTTTTAGTTAGCTTTTTGCTACTGTTTTCTTATATTTAGCTTCTAGCTCTCTTTTTGTTACTCCTAACTTTTTGGTACTTCAGCTACAGCTTTGTTACTTTTAGTTAGTGTTTTACTTCTTTTAGCTAGTGTGCGGTTTCTTTTATCTTTGACATATTTGTTTCAGCTTCTTCAGCACACTTCCTGGTGAGCCGAATGCGTTTGTCGTCATCAGATGGTGGTGGTGGTGGTGGTGGGGGGGGGGGGGTATGAATTCAGAACTTGCACAAATTCATGAAAGGTTTTAAGTTGTCCTTCAAACACGACCATCTAGCGCAGAGACTTGAGCCTCCCGGCCCTCTGAAGCCACAGCTTCAGTCCCAGGTGGCGTCTGGGACTCGGCTCAGTCCATCTCTACGAGATATCAAACCGAGGCCGGTCCTGTGGAAATGGCAGACAGAGGGGGCCTGTGGAGCATCAGATGTCAACAGGGACCAGTTGCTGGAGTCTCAGACCAGCATACCCCCCCCTCCCTTCATGCTTCCAGCAGCTGTGTCTTCTCAAAGCTCACATTCCTGCGGGACAGAGCCACTCCACTCTCATCACCTGTGCCCATCTGAGGGCAGGATGATCTTGCAAAAAATTAAAAGAAAAAAAAACAAAAACGTCACGGCCATTTTGCTTTGAGTCACGCAGTGGTACAACATATCTGCACGCTTGCTTCTGACCAATCAGAAGACGTTTTGATGTGAGAAACACCACAGTGCAGATGCAAACCTAACAGGAGCAAGTTAAACACCAGTTTCAAACCAGCGTGTCCGTTCCCCCGTTGTCCCACCTCCGCAAAAGACACAAAGATGCACTTTAAGACAAATTCTCCGAATGAATGATAAAAAATAAAATCCACTGTGGAGCATTTAGGCGGTGCTTGATGCTCGAGCTGTCAAACAGAAAGCTCTGGAGTGGACAGGCTGAGATGCAGCCATGATTCAGCATCTTCCTCACCTCACATCCACAGCTGCTCTAGAAGATACACGGTCTGACCTCTGAGACACATGGGATGATGTCCCCACCAGTTTTCTTGTTGAACCTGGCAGCTTGGAGCAATTTATTTATACTGTTAGTAGCAGGGATGTTGAACCCTGATGCTTTCTCTACTTATGATCACCATGCATGTGTGGAAGCACATGAACACAAGTCGATTAAAGCAGATCACTGTTTGTTATTGTTGTGTGCGAGTCTGTGAACGAACCATTTAAATGTTACAAATGTCACTGAGCAGCACAAACTCATGTCACACACACAGGCATGACAACTGAAATGTTTCAGAAGAACAAGTTTGTCACAGAGAGTAAAAAGTGATTCATAGGAGCAGCTCCACGCCGCCTGCAGTCCACCACCATTACTGCTCTCACACCAAACATCTCTTACCTCCAGACGTGTGCTGAAGTCAACCTGAAGCAAAGCTCGAGCTTTTCTTCTCCTGTCACGCTTTTTCTGTGCAGAGCCACCGCAAAACAAGTGACAAAAGTGCCTATTTTGTTCTTTGCATTCTCACTGAATTAAAAAAAATATATATAGTTTTGGTCATTTTTTTTCCCAACCGGCTCGTCGATTAAACTCAACAAAGTTCGAGTCCGCGGTGAAAACTTGTTGCCTTTTTTTGTGTGTGGTCTTAATCCGTGCGTGTTCCCAGTTTGAATGCAATGAACAAACTGTATTTCCCCGCAGCTCGGTCGCTGGAAAGTCCTCTTCGCCTTGTTAATCAGTGCAGCCACTCAGGCGCGCGGCCGTGCGCGTTCACGCCGCCTGTGGGCGGGGAGAAACGAAGGGAGGGATAACAGGAAGTGAGCTCTCAAAATAAAACGACAGCAATGAAGTTACGACACTCCGCGTGTCTTAGCATGCGACTAACTTAAAATACTGGAGCTAGTTTGAACTTTGTAAAATGAATTATCCGATTTTTTTACGGTAAGTTATAGCTGTGTGACAATATGTTGTCATTTAAATGTGTCAAACGAGAGCACTGGTGACTTTTTAGCGCTTATGTGCACTGGCGAAAAATGTTACCAGGTCAGTTGGTTGACGTCGCAAGTACCCGGATGTGAGCAGCAACCAATCAGAAGCGAGTTTACTGTCGTAAAACGTTTGCGGCGCTATTTGATGATGCGATGATGGATAACGCCGCTGCCGTCTTCGCATTTGTTATTTAAATGCCTTTCACAGGTAGGGATAGAAAACGAGACAAACGTATATCAATATCACAATGTACAGCGTATGTTTTAGAGCTTGACGAGTTAGTTTTTGCTTCGTGGGTTGCTGACGGTAACGGGTGGCTAGCAGCTCGCGCTAACAGACTGTTCGCTGAACGCATTGCAGCAAAGCGACGCTCCGCAGTGGACAACTGCCGAGCACACAGCGGTGCTTAGGGGTCGAAACTGCACCGTCTCTCAATGTAATGTTTAAATAAGCAGCCACTCACTTAAACCGACTTCAAGTTCAATTTACCTACACCAATATCAAGGACTTCATACATGTACTGTGTACATTCACGTCATATGCTGCTTTGCCACTTACTACAAATGTCAATGTCAGGACCTTCACTTCATTTGATTTTATAGATATACTTTTTTTAAATATTTTTATACCGCCATACTACAATTTAAGACAGTATCATACTTTTATTGTTTAATTTTATGCTTATGTTTATTAAATGTTTTAATGTTAAATGGTTATTGTTGCACCAGGGGTCTGAGAGTGATGTAATTTCAATCCTGTGTATGTCCTGTACATATTTCAGTTTTTGACAATAAAGTGACTTTGACTTAACGGTGAAGTCCATGTACGTTGTTAATGTTTACCACACAGCTCCATTCACGAAGATCCACTAAACATCTATAATTCTGTTAGGATAACATTAAAATGTGTCATTTTAAAAGTAGAACTAACTCAACAAATGGGCTCGTGTGTACACGAAAACCCCATATGCTCTTGATCGTGCCTGACTTTTTAAGGGCACTACATGTAGTCATGAGTTTTTATGTAAAATAAATGCACTTGGTTTCTAAAATTATCATTTTTAACTTTGATTTGAACCAACGAAAAGCAAGCTTTATTAAACATTAAAGCACATCATTTTAGTAACGCATATAAATTTATAACATTAGTAGAAGTTAGCGGAAATGGTCTGAAGTGAAGCGATAAACAGATGGATGATAGAGTTTAAAATGGCCTGAAGCTGTCAAATTTAGCTTCAGTGAAAATATTACATTGACATAAAACACATAAAAGAAAGGTTTGAGTCTTAAACCTTAAAAATAGCTGTTGAAATTGTTTTGATAATTCCCTCAGATGAGTTAAAGTTCTCCTTTTCCCATTTCAGATTGACGCTCCCCGACTCTGCTAGATGATGGATCCTGTGGTGCTCAGCTACCAGGACAGCCTGTTACGGCGCTCCGATGTCTCCTTACTGGAAGGACCTTACTGGCTTAACGACAGAGTGATCGGGTTTGCCTTCGAGTATTTCGCCAGCGAGCGCTTCGGCGTCCTGGGCGAGTCCATTATCTTCATCAGCCCAGAGGTCACACAGTTTATCAAGTGCGCTTCTTGTCCTGATGAGTTAGCTATTTTCCTGGAACCGCTGGATCTCGCCTCTCGCCATTGGGTCTTCTTAGCTGTCAATGACAACTCCAACCAGACGGCCGGAGGATCCCACTGGAGCCTTTTGCTCTATCATCAGAGCTCCAACCACTTTGCACACTACGACTCGCAAAACGGCAGCAATTCACTGCACGCTCGACGTATCGCCAGCAAGCTGGAACCTTTCCTGGGTGCGGGGAGGAAAGCGCTGTTTGTGGAGGAGCCCTGTCCATCGCAGCAGAACAGTTATGACTGTGGCATGTATGTTATCTGCATTGCTGAGGCCTTGTGTGAGAAGGTCAGGCTGGAGGGCTCACCTCGCCTCCCTGTGCAAATCATCACCCCAGCCTACATTACCCAGAAGCGGGCCGAATGGTGCAGACTGATCCAGACTTTGGCTCAGAACGACCTCTGCCGCTCTGTTTTTCCTCTAGCACGTTGACTCCCTGCTCTATCAGCCCCCACATGAATACTGCTGGAGAACGTGAATGCACTCCTTTAATACAGTATATACCTTCTTAATATATTTCTATTACAATCTCTATTTTAGTGTAAAAGTACAGCAATGTTGGAATCAGTAATGCTTGAGAGAAGAGTTGGTGTCGTGTGAATCTGAATGCACAGCAACGTAAAACACCAGCATGCCTATAAAACTAAAATGCGTACGTGCTTTGTGAAGCTGGAGAACATGTAGGAGAGGAAGCACTGATTTTTATTCTCAACTTGGGTAGTTTGGAGCGAATGTAGAAATGTTTACACAGATTTATTGCTCAGGGTCATTTGAAATGAACTGAATTGACAATAAGAATGTGCACATTTAGCTGGCGCCTACGTAATGTTCTTGTAATCACTTTGTGTCTCTGTTCAAACTTTCTACATGGAAACTGATGCACTTTGGTGTGAGGCTGAGACGTGCGCCGTGTGCTTGTTTTTGGGGACAAAGGGCATTGTTGAGTGATGGAATGTGAGTTATGTTCTCATAGCGTATCAAACGTGCTGTCTGATCTGATAAAAGTGGCTGTTGTCACATTTTTCTGAGGAGAAAAAAATGTTTTCTGGTTTTTATTGAAGGTCGACTGTCTTCTAACTTTGTGTAAAGGTTAAACTGTTATAGTTCGGCTGCACAATACGTCAAATCATTTTAAATTTAAATGCTTAGAAATGATTATTTCCTATATTTGATGCTTTTATTATATTTATAATGATACATTTTTGGCTTAATCCAGAACAGACCTAAAATAAATAGTTTCTTATATTGTTTTAAAATGCGCATAATACTATTAGAATACACACATGGATTTCTAACATTAGCTGTAATCAGCGAGGGCCTCGGTCAAAAGCAAACACTTTCCAAGTGTTACAGCATTTGCTGCTTGAACATCTGTAAATATTTAGTAACAATAACTTACAATCTTTAGTCTTGGCTGAGATTTTGTTAAAACAGACGAGAGGTGCTTGAATCTGAATCGTTGAATCTGTTCTTCACTGCGTTGACCGATGGAAGGCCAGATAAAAATAAAGTTAAAATACTCTGGGAAAAGATGTATACTGTAGTCTAAAGAAAATAATTTAACCAAAATAGTATTTAATTCTTTTTATGACCTTTACTTTCTGGGGGGAATAAAGTTCAGTAACATGGACTGTATATTACCTCCTTTTACCTCGAGCACTAATCTTAAATATTGGTAAGCATGAGTATTCATGTCCAAAATATATATTTTTTTAATACCAGCCATTCTTTACCCACTTGATCCTGTTCACAGTTGTGAGCTCCAGCAGGTACTGGACGAGTGGTGATGTTCACTCTGGACAGATTACCAATCCAGATGTTATTATCGTGTAAACAGTACATACAGTTAGGACATTTGTGTTTGGTTGGTTGATTTTTCTTGTAACGATGTTTGGCAATAAATGATACCCCTGAAAAGCCTGTTTATTTCCTCTAAACAGAGCTACATTTGTTGTAAATATGTTTGTGGCTCGAGCAGCAGAGTACAGTTAGTGAAATGAAAAAGTTGCCAAATATTTGCCAGTATCAAACAGTTCATTGTACTATTGCCTCTTGTTTTACCACATAGCAACTCTTAAGTTCTACTAAACCAAGTTGCAGCATTGTTCAAAATAAGCCCTATAGTACCTCATAATAAAGACCATTTTCCACAAACGGTGATGTCAGAGACTGGCTGTGAAGTGGGCATCCAACAAGGTGAGATTCTGCAACCAGTAGCAATGCCATAACTACACTGTCTGGGACCATGACTCCAAGATGATGATGTTCATTCACCCCCACAGAGTGGGTGCTCTCAGAGACTACCTCCAGAATTTGGAAGTGAAGAGTATGGAATGGCCTGCCAGGGGTCCTGACCCCGTCGCTGTTTGTTTCAGAGTGACCAACACAACCACCTTGGCTAACTGACAACAAATAATGGTTGAGAATGAGATGCCATCTCAAAGCAGTGTGTGAAGAAGCTGGTTAGCAACATGAAGAGGAGGTATCAGGCTGTTGTGGCTGTGTATGGTTCTTCCACATGCTACTGAGGGCCCTGTTTATTAAATTGTCAATGTCTCTGCTTGAGACTCAATCAACCACACCAAGTGAATCACTCAGTTGTGAGTGAGCAATAGCTATTCCTTTTTTTAATCAGTTAATTGCACATTTTCATTCCTAGAATATCTGCATATTATTCATCAACTTGTAATCTGGCAGTCTGCTCAGCTCTCCTTTACATTCACCCCGTAGCCACACTAATGCTTGAATTGTGAGCTCATCTTCACCCCTCGGGTATATTTAATCCAGTGTAACCAGTCTGACAAACCTTAAGGGATTACTGTTGTCTTCATTAATGCCACAGAGCTGGAACATTCCCACATTAGTAACAAACTGCATTAAAGAGACAAAGCGCCTGAGGAAATATGCTGATACTCACAGGACAACAGATCTTGACCAAGTTTTACTTATTTTTCCATGTCTTTTTTTATTAGGTGTGGTTGATTGAGTCTCAAGAGACATTGACAATTTAATAAACTGGGCCCTCAGTAACATGTGGAAGAACCATACACAGCCACAACTGGTGGTTGTTCAATTCGAGTCCAATTTGTAGTATTAATTCCACTCTTATTTTCTTCCTGTTACCCACAATTGACATTTAAGTCCTACACATGTTTTCATGTGGTTTCATTCAGCAACAAACTGGATTATTGATTATCTCAATTCTCCTGGACCTGTTAAGTGACTTTACATTGCTACTATGATAACCTAAATGCTATGCTAACAAATCCAGACTAGGTAACACACTGAAGCTAAATGTCATCAAAAAACAGTACATTAGTAACTACCTAAGTACAAGTTCCTCTTGGGGGTTAATAAAGTAGTATTTGAATTGAAATTAAGTTATATAAAACAATAAATATAAGCATGTAGCATTAGCAAAAGTAAAAATGAATAATGTATGTTCGTTTTAACTTTTTAAATATACTGTTTTAGTTTTTCCATTGACTCAAGTACTTTCTGGTTCAAATATACAGTAATCTTATAAAAATTATGTTTGCTTCACAGATTGTATAACTCTCTGAAGTAAAGTGAGACTGAGTTGATCTCACTGCCAAAGGTGAGCGATAATGTGTTGGTTTTGTGTGCATTCATCTGTTACCAAAATATCTCCTGAACCATAGAATTTATTGATAATATTAATAGACCCTCACTCACACCTAGGGACAATTTAGAGTTACCAATCAGCCTAACATGCATGTTTTTGGTCTGTGGGAGGAAACTGGAGTACCTGGACCAGAGAAACCCCACGCATGCACAGAGAGAACATGCAAACTCCACCCAGAAAGGTCCTGGGCCAGGATTTGAATCGGCAACCTTCTTGCTGAGAGGCAACAGCTCTTCCAACTGCGCCACCGTGCCACTCTCGGCGGCCGAGATGGTGTAGAGGTAGGGCAGCCGGCTTGGGACCCGAAAGTCCTAGGTTCGATCCCCAGTCACTGCATATCACGTGGTGTCTCTGGGCAGCACACCTCATCCCCAAAATGCCCCCCGGGAGCATTCAATAGCTGCCCACTGCACCACCTGGTGGTGGATTGGTTAAATGCAGAGACTAATTTCGCCATTGTATGGAAACATACAGTGCTGACATTGAGATTGTAAGGATCCTACCCTGCACCCTGCCTTTCTCTCTCCTCTACACTCCTAATTGGCTCCAGCTGCAGATGATCAACTCAACACCCATGAGGAGTATAAGAAGATTCAGGAACCACTCTGCAGGCGCTGGGACACTGCCTACCAACGGTAGTTGTGTTCTGGCCAGTTATTCAGTGATATTTGTAAAAACTAATATTGTGTTTTTTCCTCTGCGCTTCCTCAGAGTTTGGATCTTGCTGTACCTGCCCTGCTTGAGTTCCATGTGAACTGAGACTCCTCCTGCCTATCTACAATTGCTGGATGCCTTCCGCCACTTGCCTAAATCTACTTGTTGCTTCACCTTGTGCCACTGGACACCATCTGGACATAATACCTTCACATTCTGTTTCCCTGCTACACACCATAAGAATTATTCAACAAGATATATTCTTATCCAAACCACAGCCCTTTAAATTACCGCTCTCTCCCCAGGTGTTCCCGTTTCCCTCATTGATGTTTTATTTATCCACCAACCTGTAAATAAACACTTTAAATTATTATCTGAGTCCTGGTGTCTGTTCAGTTCTGGTCTTTCATTCTGGGTACACCGCAATCGCTACAGTGATGACATTATTATTATTATGAACTAACGAACAGACTTTAATGAAAGTTTCATAAAGCAGTCATTGGATATAAATCTACAACACATTATCTCTTGGTATCAATGGTCTCCTAAGACACACTAAGTCTGTTTCACAGATATTGAGCTAAGTGTCAATGTGGTAGTAGCTGACAATCATTCACAACACATACTTTAAGCTCTAGCAGATTGTGTGACACCACATTAATTCATATTGCAAACGGCCATAGCTCCACCATTTCTCAACATAAGATGATCTTAGTTTAAAACTCTGAGGTCAAAGACAGCAGGCCAAGTTGACTCCAATGGTTCAGTGGTAGATTTAACTGGATAAACATGAATGTTTTAAAATACAAAGGTATAAAATATTGGTTAGGTACTGTAACCCCAGATTCTATGAGTATAGGCACAGCCCTTTGAGGCTGTTGCTAGTGGGTTTATCACTTCGCACGCAGCGCAGCACTGAAAACTTTAGTCCACGCCCACCTGCTGTGTGGGCCTCACCCCTGTCCGTATAAAGTACGGTAAGGCTGGGTAATCGGCTCCCAAATAGCTTTTTTCTTCAGCCATTTAGGAACCAGTGAGGCCCAGAGCTTAAAGGGCTGCGCCTACACTCACAGAATCTGGGGTTACAGTACGTAACCAACGTTCTATTTTGTATAGGCTTTGCCCTTTAAGGCTATCGCTAGTGAGTTAAAGGCGAAGCAGGACATAGTCTATGCCTCACTGGGTCCATTCAGACACAACATGAAGCACCTGCTTGCACAAAAAAACGTTTCATCACTCAGCCTCAGGCTGTTTTTAATGACAGAATTTTAAGTGA